CGCAAACCACTTCCACCTTTGTTCCCTCCCCTCCAACCACAGCAGTACTCCTTTCTCTAGACTCAGAGTCATGGTCTGTGCTTTTCCTTCTTCTGGTAATGCCGTTCCCTCATCCTTCAAATACCCCTTCCTTCGAGAAGCCCCTCCTTATCTCCCAGACAGGTCAGACTCCTGGTTAATTCTCTTTGATACTGAGTGCCTCTTTTTCAGAGCTTTTGTCCCAGTTTATGGTTATAGATTTATAATCATTTTATTAATGTTTATTTTCCTATTTGAGTATTAGGAGGCGGACAGGGGCTGATCTGCCTTATTTATTTGCTCTTCTTTCCACAGTATTCTAGCATACGATAGGTGCTCAAATATTTGCTGAGTAAATAACTGGAACTTCTGGAAGACATTTAAGTTTCCATCTTTGCTGCTTGTGAAACCACATTCTGATCCTCCTTCCATATGGTTCTGCAAATGTCACAGTCCTTGATTCCCTGCACAGGCAGAAAGTTGTCTAGTTAACTGCTGTATTCCGCACGCCTCACATGAGAACACAGCAGATTTCTAATAAAAGAGATGACACCTCTTTCTAGATGTCAGGGGTACAGAGGTTAATAACTGCCCAAGGACTGACTCACATCCTGCTGTATTTTCTTCCGTTCCACCACCCCCAACATATCCCTTGTCTCCAACTTAAACATGCTGAATAAAGGCAGTAGAGAGGGAATAGGGTGCTCCTGACCTCACAAACCCATACTCCTCTCTCCAGATTCAACTCAAATGTAACCTTCATCTTCAAGCCTCCCCCCTTCCTTCCTAACTGTAGGCAACCATCAGAGCTTTTACCTCCCAACCAGTCAGTTCTGGGACTTGTCTGTCACCTCAATGAAACCACAGACTTTCTTGAGGGCAAGGGCTTTGTCACAGCCTCCTGCTTCTGCAGAAATGAATATGAACTCTTAAATATATGCGGAACAAATGAACTGATGAGGAACGTTGGCGAGGTCACATACAGGAGCACCTGGACCCCTTCAGCGTAGGGCCCCTGCCCGCCCCCCCACAAGGCTCTTCAGCTCAGATTCTGTGAGGTCGGCAGGTGGACGCTCCTTCCTGTAGTAGTGGATACGGGGAGACACCAGGGGGATTTCCTATAGCCGTGGCCCTCCCACACCCAGTGGCTTCATGCAGAGTACCCCGCTCCAAACTCTCCCTGGATCTATTTCTTTTTAACAGCTTTCCTGAGACTCAATCCACACATTTGAGGTGTACGATTCAATGGTTTTCAGTATACTCACAGGCCTGTGCAACCATCACCATAATCCGTTTTAGAACGTTCTCACCAACCCAAAAAGAAACCACCTACCTCTCAGCAGCCGCTTCCCAAAGCTCCCAAACTCCCCAGCTCTAAACCACTAATCTATTTTCCGTCTCTATCAATTTGCCTGTTCTGGACATCCCATGTTAAGCGGAATCATATAATATGCGGTCTTTTGTGTCTGGCTTCGTCCACTTAGCATGTTTTCAAGGGTCATCCATGTTGTTCGTTCCTTTTCCTGCTAGTATTCCATCCTATGAATAGACCACGGTTTTTTTCATCCCTTCATCAGCTTACGGACATTTGGGTTGTTTTCACTTTCTGGCTATTATCAAGAATGCTGCTATGAACCTCTCCGTACAAGTTTGTGGGTGGACGTGTGTCTTTACTTCTCTTGAGTATATACCCTGGAGCAGAAATGTTGGATCACGTGGCACTTCCGTGTTTAATAGTCCGAGGAGCTGCCAGACTGTTTGCCAAAGTGTCTGCACCATTTTACATTCCCACCAGCCAACTGGCAACGTAGGAGGGTTCTGATTTCTTCACATCCTCCACGTCATACTTATTAGTATGGTGGCTTATTAGCATGTCTTTTTTCTTGTTGCCATCAGACTGGGTGTGAAGTGGTATTTCACTGTGGCATCGATTTCCCCAGATCTATTAACAAGCAATAACTGTGCGGGGTCTTTGGGAACATGAGGTTAGTCAGGCCTGGGTTGGCCCCACCTCTGCCGCTGACAGCTGTGTGACCTTTACTAGTTTAACCTTTCAGTCAGTTTCCTCTTTGTCAAAACATGGTACTTCGCTGGATTCTTAAAAACAGTTAATGACACATACATGGTATATAGTGTAGAATCCCTAGTGCATTATTAAGTAGTAGGACCCAAAAAATATAGCTATTAACAACAACAAAGAAAGACAGTTCTCTAGGGCCGAAAACTGTGACGGTCTCTAGTCTAAAGAGGAAGACCAAAGAAAGTCAACTATCGCGGCCACGGGATTATAAAGAGTCACGCAAGCGACGTGTCAGGTACCAACATTCACTGAGAACTCGCTTTTCTCCTATTTTCTCTCCTCAGGTTCTGGTAGTGGTGGAGATTCGAAGCAAGATTCAAGGCAAGGAAAGCAAGTTGTTCTCAAAGACAACAGCCTTTTCAATGGTTTCTTAAAGTAGTATGTGGACAGGTCTGTTGAGCAGACCATGAGGAAAACACTTTACGGGAAGTGTAGGACATAAAGGTCAGCCTACTCAGGATGCAAGTGAGACACCAAGAGTCAAAATCAGAGACCCATGGATACAGTGTCCAAATGTGGCACCACCTCAGCTGCCATCTGCCCTTCCCCCGGTGTTGTTAACTCTTGACTCTGCACGCGTGTTCCAGCAAAGAAGACAAGAGAACATCAGATGTCTACACAGGCACCCCAGAAGAGAGAAAGAGGAGGAGAATGGGGAAGAGTGAGACAAGAGGCCCAGCTAGACAACCCTAAATAGTCTCTCTATTGTAACAGGACCACTCTGCAAGGGCAAGTTTACTTTCAAGGGGTCTGTTCAAACCAGCCTGCAATCACCGGGGATCTCCAGGGGAGGAAGAAAGCATAAGAATCCAGCGAAGAAGGTTTTAAAAGAGGCAGAGAAGCATCTCTCCAAGTCTTTGTTCTCTTCTGTGGAACAACAGGCCCGATGACTGTCACCTGCCACCTGGCATAAGGGCCACAGGCAAGAGCCTTGTTGAGGAGCTTACAATGAAACAGAACTTTCTCTTCTCCACAGACATTATGCCCCAAACTCATGGACCAACATGGAGCCTTCTTAATCCCATTACCTTTGTCCATCAAACTCGTGGACCAGATGAAGGGTTTGATCCCAATTTTTGTCCACTGAACTCATTATTGATTCATGGTATCTCTTCCAGTGCCGCATTAGGGTCTGTCTCACCCTACCCACCTTTTAAGAATCAAGAGGTAGGCTGGTCCCCTCTATTTAGCTGATTAGAGGTCTTAACGTGAGCCAAAACATGTCTTGCTCAAAATCAACACTGCTCAGAACAATTTGTTGTTGTTATTAGTAGTAGCTAATACTTCCTAATTTGGGGTCCATCTAGGCACCTTTCTTAGAGAAAAGGGAACTTAGTCCCCCTCCCTTCAGATCTGGCCCGAGCAGGAAATGACAGCCCTCTGTACACACACCAGAATACCAGTGGTATGGATTCAAGGGCAGCTCTCACTCTGTGTCCAGCCCCACCTTAGCAGACGCCAGCTTCAGGATGCATAACCTTGTTCCTATTCCCACATCCCTTCGTCCACATCCCTGTTCAAAACTACCCTCCCCCCCCCCAACTCTTGCTGCAAACATTACGAGTGGAGTCACAAACAGCCCAACCTAGTTTCAAAACATATTAAACAAATGGGAAAGGTGTTTAAGATGAAATTTTGTTTAAAGAAGAAATGGGAAAAAAGAAAAGAGTGGGGAACAAGAGAACAGACCAGACAATATCAACTTTGGTGGAAGGTTCCTGTCACTGCACTGGTCATACTCAGACCTCAGAACCTCCAGCCTGCCTACCTATCTCCACAGGTGACTCTGGCTCCCCCAGTGAGTTACAGTAATACCCCCGCCCCACCCCCACAGTTTTGCTTTCTGTGAGTTAGGTTACCCACAGCCAACCATAGTCCTGAAGCAGATGGCCCTCTGCTCTGCTGATTAATCAGAAGATCAACAGCAGCCTAATGCGATGTCACGATGCCTACATCATTCATCTAGCTTGATCTCATCGGGCAGGCATTTCAATCATGTCACATCATCACAAAAAGGGTGATTACAGGACAGTAAGGCATTTCGAGAGAGACCACATTCACATACTTTTTTATTACAGTATATTGCTATAATTGTTCTATTTCACTACTAGTCATTGTTATTAACCTCCTACTATGCCTAATTGATACATTAAACTTTATCATAAGTATGTATATATAGGGGGAAAAAACAGGAAAGACAGGGTTGGATACTTCCTACAGTTAGTAGGGAGACTAGTGCGCAGGCTCCACAGAAAGGACGTTCCCCATTGATCCTCCGCCTTCCGGCAGACCCCCTAGCCATGGAGGCTCCCTTGAACTTGAGAGGTCAGGGGTCCAGAACAGTTGCCCGGAGGGTCCCAATTCCTCTTGCCTACCATGGAACTGAGAACTTCGGACCTCCACCTCTCTGTGAAACTGCGCCCTGAGCAGTGGAGCCCTGTGCCCTGCGGTGGGAGGAAGAGGAGGCCTCCAGGGGGAGAAGGTCGGGTCGCGCCGCCTCAGCGCGCCGCCTGGGCCACTCTTCCACCCCCGGCTCGGGTGCGAAGCGGCGCGGCCCAGAGAAGAGGAAGGAAGACGAAAAGCAACTTTTGCCTGGGGTTTCTGTCGGAAAGCGGGTCGGGGCCCGCAGAGGGGTGGGTGGAAAAACTCGGGACCTTTGGAGATACGGGTCCGCGGGAGCAACGGTGGCGCCGGGGCTGAGTTCCAGGGCCCGCGCAGCGCAAGCAACTTCCCGAAGCCCTCCCCGAACTTGCCGGTGGCGGCGCAGTCCCCCGCCCCGCCCGCGGCGCGATGCTCCGGCGGGCCCCGCCCGGCTCCCGCCGCCCGGCGCGCCACCTCCCGGGTCCCCTTCCCGCCCGGCCTCTCCAGGAGCCCCCGGCCCCGCGCCCCGGGCCTCTCTTACCATCTGCGCCACTTTCAGCAGGGCCCCATAAGTGCGGGGGTAGACGGGGTCCAGCGGCCCCTCCGAGGGCCTCGCGCCGGGCTGCCCGGCGCCGGCCCCGGCCCCGCCACCGCTGCTGCACGTGGTGCGGACGAGCCCGGCTCCCTGCGACCCCGCGCCGCCCCTACCCGCCGGCAGCCTCCCCTG